AACGCTCTCTCTCTCATGTTTCCCCCCCTTTTTTCTCCGTCTGTTCACATCGGTGCACGCGGTTTAGGGTCGCAAGAGCGGTGACTCGAGTTCGGAAGGCGTGAACGTGAACAATTCAGCGGGAAGCGACGGTAGCTCGTCGAATCAGCAACGGTCGCCACGAAAGGTGAACGGAAGTCGCGCGATGCGGACCATCTCGAGGGACTGTCACGGTCGTTTGACCACGCTCGTGAAATCTGGCTCGTTCTCCGGTTGTACCGCACACCAGCAACTCTCCGCAGAGAGGACGATCGTCAGCGATCCGACACCGCCGTTCAGGTTACCCTGCTGTACTTCGATGGCTTCCACGTCCGAGACAGAGGGCGAGGAGCAGCGTAATTGTACGCGGGGATGTTTCGCGTACGACGACAGCCTGCTCGATACCGTGCTGAGCAACAAGGAGCTGTGCAATCAGCAGCTGAACGTAGACAGCGACGTCGAAATGAACAGCCTCGGGAACAACTCGTTCTCCGAGCAGGCTTGGGATAATTATCAGGTAACCAGGTTCTCTACCTATCGTACGGAAAGATTCTTGCAGGGTTTCTCTTTTTTTTTTTGCACGCGCGCCTGTTTTTACTTCGATTGAGTTTTTTTTCTTTCTTGGCGATTCTGACGTTGCTTAACGAAGTCGAGTTGCGCGTAATTTGCTCCTTTATTTTTAGCATCGATAAGAATAATTAGAATTTCTGCAAATGATCTTTATTGTTACGGAATACGTTCGTAGGAAGAAAGCGCTCTGAGAATTAGATAGAGATCCCGATCCAAGTAATTTCAGACACAGTTGAAAGTTTCAGTGATAAATAGTAGTAGTTACAGTTTGTTTCAACGAACGATCCACTGTTTATTTCGAGTAGTGTATTAATATCGATAATTGAAGCTAATGATGTTTACTAGTGAATGAAGTTCGCGCCCGATGACTCATTCTTAAATTGATCTCTTTCCAATAGGAGAAGTATATGAGCGAGCCATACAGCGAAGCGCCAGACGTAGAAACGGCACGAAGATTGCTGGACTTTGGGGACGATTACCGAAACTTCCTCGATAGTCAGTCCGATTGTGCATCCAGTATGAGCGCGGTACCCGCTAGTTCTCCGCTGCCTAGAAGTCGTATGCATCATGTACGTTCCATTCTATTATTCTTACTTGATCAAGTGTCCATATTTTTTCTGTGACACCCACAACTGCTATGTATATATCACTTTGCACACTGGACTTTCGCTATTTAGTACATAGTACGGGTGATTACGTGGTGTCATTTGTTAATCAACGATTGTATCGTTAAAATCGACATTGGTATCCAAGCCTATACGAAGTAGCTCTTTAAGAAAAAGCAGTGTCTAATTATCCACACAATGTGTTCGTCTACCTTATTCTCTTTTGCCAGTCAAAGCTATAATTAATTAACCTCGATACATTACGGTTTGTGCCTTTGAACTATAATGTCACGAATACCGGTGTCGTATTTTATAGAAATAAAAATAAAGAAGAATCGAACTGTTTGTGTATTGCTGCTGTACGAATGTAATTTCTCTGCAGCAAATAAAAAAATTGGTGGATTTGTGTGTTGAAGAAACAAAAAGAAGAAGCCATTCTTGATTATCTGCAATAAATTCATTTTTACCTAAGTAACCTTACGCCGAATTATTACCTTGCACCAGATATACATTTTCTTTTTTTTTTCTACTCTTGTTACATATCATCCGACGCGTGAATTATTCACGAGTTTCTTTTCTATTCATCTCGAGTGTAACTCGAATGTAACGATCGTTGGATAGCACTTTCTAGCCAGCGTCCGTTCGTGTACAACACACGGTGCTATCTTGAGAAGAAATTTTCTTTCACGCAGCACATTTCTCCGTTCAATCTCTCTCTCCGTCTCTTATCATACATTCTCTGAGACGAACGCGTCTCTCTGCGACGATGATATCTTAACGAGGATAAACGATGTAATTACAGATATAGCCGGTGCTGCTAAAGCTGTCTCGCAGACGGTATCTAGAGCAAGATTTGATGATGACATACTGAACGCGCACTTATATACTATGAATTGCACTAATGTCGGATGAAAATTCTTTTTACGCATTTCCATGACTTTATTGATTTTGCAACGTGTTCCAAATCGTTTCTAGTTGCCCGTAAAATTATATATTAAAGTTTCGTTTGCAAATTGACAGTGATTGGTCAAGAAATTATCTATCGTGCGTAACTTGGACGTTGAAGACACGTTGAAAATGAAGTTAGTTAGCATCGGAATTATTCCTCTTCGTCCGTTATCTCGACTCCACTAAATCATAGATAACTGTGTCCCGAAAAATTCGTCCTTGATTCAAACGGGTTTCGCGCGCCACCGACAGCAGACAGACCAAATTGTCGTCGTTCAGCTTCTACGCTTCACTCCGATATCTTCCGTCCAGTGGTACACATTCGTCGCTTTAAAAATTTCCAAATAATCCTCCGATAACTTACCTTTCGTTTACCACTGATTTGCATTAACTACAAATTCCCACTTTCACACCGACAACAACTTGGATCAACACACACGCTGATCCACGAATGAAATTAACAACGTAACGTCGATGAATAATACCACTTCTCGTTTAACAAACACTAGGCGACTAAATTCACGGCAAATTTGTTGCAGGAGATAATCGATACCACGGAAGACAGCGACAGCGACGTGGAGGACATCCGGAACGTGGTCGAGAAGTCGCAGTCACAGTTGGCACTCGCGGAAAATTTATTCTCGAGGTCGAACAACGGCACGATGCCGGATGATTGCGTACGTATAACAGATATGACGTTGCTGATGATGCATAAGATGTACATAATGTTTGAGAGTCTGTTGAGAAGCTTGAAGCTATTCTTTTCGCGCTTCTATCTGAAGGAACTTCTCCCTGCTTTTAGCATAGCACGCATGTGCGAACGCATGAAATATTTTCTCGTGAATTTGGTTTCGTCTGTGTCGCGCAATTAAGGAAGAATAAAGATTGATTCGCCTCCTGTGCTTCACTGCTTCTTCTTTTTTTCACGCTTTCAGTTTTAATCACGGGAATACACGTTGCCGGTTCACGCTTGCGAGATAGGATTCTGTAATATAATTAATTACGACGAACGAGTGCTTCGAAACTGTGTGTGGTTGTGTGTGCGTGTGTTGAAACAATACACCGGTGCTTCTCGCTTTTATCCGTTTTGTACGCTGATTCTTAGGTCTTTCCGTTGACGACGCGGTTGTCGAGCGTTGCTTTCGACAGGTAATTTACGCGCATTTGTAAGTTCAGGCAGATTATTTCGCGAGTATATGGACAGTATGTTGTGTAATAGATGGACATACTTATATGTTGCTTTTAAGTATCGTTTGGAGAATTGATAGAATGGTAAATATTGTACAATGGTAAATAAAGCTGTTCTTATTAAAAACATCGAATTTAATACGAGTAGGAGTTTGTGTTTCTATTTATGCGTTTGTGCTTCTTCACCCGATTTGCCCTTTTTGAGAATACAAACTTTTATCGTTAAATAAGAAACGTTCCAAAATAATGCGTATTGAAATTGTTGGAAAGATAAATAGGTCACCACTTATAAACCTAATAAAGAGTCACGATTCTCGGTATACACAGATATAGGAAGAAAAGGCTGCGTGTAATAACATCTCCTTGCATGTTTACTATTCTGTCCTTACCCTGCTTTTTCAATGTGTGCTCACAAATCACAGAGACAAATACCAGAGCTGGTGTTTATGTTTCTGGCTTGCTTCGTGGACAGCTCCATGTTGCTTATTGCAAAGGAAGGAGAATCATTGGGCCGCTGCTTTTGAGTGCTGAGTTAGAAGGTATAGTTGTGGTATTCAAGGCTTTTCATAATTTAACTGTGCTGTAAAACGTAGACTCTTGCATGTTTACTGCTTTCAAGAATTGCAGTAGTTGAGGCAGAGTAGTTGAATAATTAGATCAATTCAAAGGTCATTATACAGTATGGGCCAGTGTAACTTTCAAGTCACATACTAATATATCGATATTTTATTAAATAATTGAACTTTCTTCCACAAAATGGCATAAACGTCTTGTTGTACAATGTCTCCTTATTAACCAGTAACTTTCTTGATAACCGTTATTACTTCAAAGTTACAATACGTATTCGTTATGATAAAATTGTGGAAACTGCTGAATTCACTGTTATTCTGTATTTATAGGTCGATATTTGCTAATTTTACGTTACATAAATTCTTTTACAGTCAAGAAAAATATTCGGCCCATAGAGGGTTAATATGTCCGAAAAATGTGTACAACATTAACATAATTAGAATAATTAAAGTATTGTAGTTTATCTTTGATGAATTAGATGTATTTCATCTCCCATAATTTCTTCAATTCTGCTAATATTTTGAGCAATATTGTCGCAATAAAATGGAATTCCACATGCATGCTTCATCTGAATGCAGAAAAGTCAAGGAATGCTCAATCTGGTTTCATGGAATGTTGCTAGAGTGTACTGCTTTGTAATCCTAGTAAAATTCACAGAATTCGTAGATTGATGTAGATTTTTCTGTTGTAGACTGAAGTCGAGCGCGCGTGTAGAGAAAACATGCGATGCCTTCACGCGTTATTGGAGTCCGTCACCAATTCGTTCCGCAGCGAAAAATACGTGAAACAAATACGTGGTAAGTACAACAATCAAATTGAACGTCGATCATTTTCTATTTCGCTGTCGTACATGGCCGCTGTATTAGTTACCGCTCTGAGCGGACTTGTCTTTTTGCTTCTCTCTTAATTCTCCCGATTCGATCCCTTCTAAAAACTAAAGAGTTGACTCCGTCTTAAAAATCCTACGAAAGGAGGAAGACTGGAGTCGGAAAGAGCGCTGTCCTTGTAAGATCAGTGATCAATTTAAGTTCTTTCTTGTGATCGAAATTTTTCACAAACAACGTCTGAAACGTTTCATGTATATATACATATATATTTTGCGAAAGAAAATCTTCCATTGAGATTTCAGCGTTTCTTAACGTACACGTTGAGAAAGCTACTCGAGCAGATTTCTTCTGTAGTTGTTAAAAAGATGTAAATCAAACGTGTGACATTCTGGTTACTTGAAATTTGATTAGGAGAGACTTATAATCTTAATGTTTAAGTTAACTTTACTTGCAGGATGTTAATTAAATCGTTATTTCATAAGAGTGGTAACTAACAGACGAAATCTTACGTACTTAACAATCTAGATCTTTAAGCCAGATTAAGTTCGATATCTCGTTAAACTGCAGCGTGTGTACATACTTTTGTAAGTCGCTTACAAAGACTGATATGCAAAGTATTAGCATGTACGCATTCTTTCGCTTTCGATGTACTTCGTGAACAACGTACACCCGAGAAGTGTATGCATTTGAAGCGATGTTAGTGATACTGTCGTAACTATAGTCAACCCAGAAATCTTGTGTACGTATCTTCAAGAATGAACAATGTAAAGAAACAGACAAAAAAAAAAAAAGAAATGACCAAGTGAATCAAATTAATTTGTAATGTTGATGTAATTAATATTTAATTCTCTTGTGATACGTTTGCTCAAATGTATATACAAAGGATAGATAGAAATCTCCAATGATCGATTAACTAGAGGCTCGAGACTCTTAAGATCGGGACATTATTTAAACAATGGCTTGCGCACAGACGCAATGTATGATACAATAATATACAGGGTGTTTGGTAACTGGTGGTACAAGCGAAAAGGGGGTGATTCTACATGAAAGAATAAGTCGAAAATATAGAATAAACATTTTTCGTTTGTGGCTTTGCTTTCGAGAAAATCGACTTTAAATTTTCGTCGAGTACGCATGCACCCTACTATGCCGTGGATGAATGGATCTCGACGTTCGGTGTACGGTGGCCAGCATTTTCAACAATTTTTGCATTAATAAAGTAAATCTTGATAATTACATGCTTTATTATTACTCATAAACCTACGACATATGGTCTATATCGAGATCCGTTCATCCACGACATAGTAGGGTGCATGCGTACTCGAAGAAAATTCAAAGTCGATTTTCTCGAAAACAAAGCCTCAAACGAAAAATGTTTATTCTATATTTTCGACGCGAACTGTTCTTGCACATTTATGTCCATTTTGAACGATAGATAGTATTAAAAAAGAAAAATACCATTTTACCACGTGTAAAGTGTATTTTGAATATGCTCGAAGTAACAGAAAGATGCGAGGCAATATAATTTTTTTCTTTTTAAACAAAATAGTCTCTAGATAGTGTGAAATCTTTTCGTTTAGAAACGGTTAAGTTTACGAATGTTATTACGAAAAATTTTGTTCCGTTAATTTTATCGTGTGCTGATTAAATGTGCAAATCCTTGCGAGAGGAAACGCAAATTGTACGCATCTGCCTTTTACAGGATGGAACAATATTGGGATTTTTCTCTAACGTCGCTCGTTTGTACAATTTAATTTTTAATCCATACTTTTTTTCTTTGTTAGTGTTTTGTTTTGTTGTTGTTTTTTTTCCTCCTCGCCTTTCTTACCAACGAGCACATTTGCGAAAATGTGACGCACCTTTAGAGTATTTTCATTTTTAGTTGACTTTTGTATACCGTTCATATTGTAATCATTATTGTAATAAACACTGCTTTGTTGTGGCTTCTTACTAATTATTCTCTTGTTTCTTTTTCCACCTACAGAGAATACGTTTCGATCGCTGGTCCGTATTTTGATCAATTTTCATTCTAGAAATTTTCACGCAGAACATATTCATTCGTAGCTGTTTCGTTGTGTATCAAAGGGATACGTAACTTCGCTGAATGAACTCGACACAGGGATCAGTATAATTATGCACGGCTACAATTGAGAATTAACGGAGTCTGGTTTATTTGTCGGAATTACACGGTTCTCGTTTTAATTATGCACGTGAGTTCCTCGAACAGTAAACGTCCAAGTGCTATTAATTTAGCGAATTTATGGGCAACTTTTTGCAAACGTTTATCCACTTTCAGCGCGAGACGTCTGGAAAAACGTATTCCGTGTAGCAGCGGAACGAATTTTCTTAATTGCTTAGAACAAGTAGATACCAGGCGGGGGAAAGCAGCAGTGACTTCGGTTACATTGCATACAGTCTTAACACGATTTCAATCTGAAATATAGCGAGGATTCGAGGCGTAAATATAAACCGAACGGAAATTGCAACACGTTCTTTTGCATTCGGTACGATAACAGGCTTTCGATTCAATTTACGAACCAGAATCGAGCAAGTACTTGATTGTACATGGAGCTCCACTATCTTCTTGGTATTTTGTATTTTGATCAATGCGTCGCCTATAGATTGTGAATTTTTACTTTCAGGAATCTCGTTCTCTTTCTTTAGATAGAGTAGCGTAGATATTATCAGTTTTACGTTATAAGATAACACTGATTTGGTGGAAGAATTTGAAAGATTCTACAGGTAATTCTGTCTGGACAGGTGAGTCGAAAGTGTGAAGTGAGATTTTGTCGTATGAAGTTTCATTCTCGAATAAGTCGATGTTGAAATTTGAATAAGGGTGTTCGTATGAAAACACTCAACAGGTAAGCTCCTGTTGTCTTGGTGGAAAAATCATTCCTCAATAGAGGACAGTATTTGTTTCACATTTATTCTTCATTATCGTACACGATAAATTTCTAGCATCTATTTACTCGAATACTTCGAGAAGCATAACATTTTCGACTTATTTTTTCACGTAGAATCTTTCCATTCTCTATTTTCACCCTGTAAACAGACATGTATTCCCCTCGAAATTAACTGGACCTTTAAACCATTAAACCTCGACCATAAATTATTAGGTCGTGCGATATGGAATGCAGAATTTCTAATCATTGACTGCTCTTACGTTAACCTTTTAGATACTATAGTGGCTTTCGTGGATAGCACCAATTTGGACGGTACGACACTATAGTGACTTTCGTGGATATCATGATTTTCGACGGTATTATACGTTTTTTGCTTTATTTCGCATCCTGGCAATATCGAAGCTGTCGTTGAAGAGTACACGTGTCAGAGAATCGTCATTTTTGTGCCATCCGCGGCCAGGCGCGCGCCGTCTCAGGGGTAACCCACTTGCGGACGAGCGCGCCGTACCTAAAAGGTTAACTTCGAATTCGTACAATTGTTGGTAAGTTACTTTTAGGAAATCTAAGTGCAATGTTTAAAAAACGATTTCCATTCCTTGCTGAAATTTTGCACATCTCAAAAACAATCGAAAATCGTCTCATCGTACCTAAAGCAAGAAAATTAAAGCATCGAACGAAGCTCATTCAGCTCGAAGCATGAAAGCCCATCAAACCGATCACAATAATATCTTCATTAAACTGAAACAATGCTCGATTCACCTAACAATCACCTAAACGCACCCCGGTTCACCTGAAAAAACCCGAGCACACTCGCAAACAAGAAGATCGATCCCTGAACGAGCCCGGAGTTCTAATTCCACCGTCCATTAAACAAACGTTGAACTCTCTCGTCCGTTCTTCTTCCTTGGAGCCAGTAAACGATTATCGGCGACCGGCTGAATCAAGCTCTCTTCGCCTGCCTCGAAGGGAAATACGATTAGAGAGAAGACCGGTCGATTGTTTGGACGCGGTAATACGGACACGGAGAGCGTGTGGGTGCAACCGCGTAGGAGTGCTTGTTGCGAGTGCACCGGTGCACCTTCGTCTATCTCACCTTATATGAAGCACTACAACAACCGAGACCGGACTTACACGAATCCGGTACTCGGCTGTTCTCGCGCTCGGTTCGCGGGAGAATCGACGGACTCGCCGCGTGGACCACGGAGCTCAGTAGCTCGGTTTTCGTGGCCGCGAGTCCCCGCGGCTCTCTCTCCTTCGCTCCTCTCGAACCTTTCTTTTCCGCGCTCAACAGCTGATCCACCACGCGCCATTTGACGTTTCGACAGCCGTCGCTGTTACTACGCGTTTCCGCGACGAATTCCTGGTTGGTTGGGTTAATTAGATCGGCGACTTGATCGTTCGTGCTTGAAAAGTAACGTTCGTAAGGTTGACCGGGAGAGTGTGAGAATTGGTATTTGACGAGGTGGAGATTCTGAAGAAGAGATTCGATGGTTTTGGTACTCTTGTGTTGGTGGGAATTTGGGAATATATTTTGAGTTAAATCTGTTATTTTTGGTAAATTGGAATCTTTGAGAAGAGTTTTTAACGTGGTTTGAGTATGAAATCGGAGGTGAATATTCTGAGAAAGAAATTTCGTGGAATTTAGTATTTTTGTGTTCTTTACAAATTTGAAATTAGATGTGATATCTTTGAACGTGGTTCGGGTATGAATTTTTCAAGTCTACGCAACTTTAGAATGGGATCTTGCTTGGAGAAGTAGGAAGAAAGAGAGAATTTTCAAGTTTGTTTCAAGTGAGATCGTAAAGTGCGGCAAATTAGAGAACGGCTGTAGCGTGGCTTGTGATGAAGTTTGCAAAAATGGAGGAGGATACTGTGAGGAAAGATGCACCGGATACCTGTTATACGTACCAGGAGATTATCGCGAAGGATCAGCCGGATGATGCTTGTACGTACGTTTCCGTATATGCTAGATCCTCCATCCGTAAATCCTTTTACATAAATGTTAGGCTAGCTAGTCGCGTACAAGTAGTTCAAGTGTACGTTAATCTTGGAATGTTAACAACA